AGCAATACCCAATTTCCGTTGCGTGAAAAGCGTAAAGCTGCAACACGCACCAGCCTCATCCGGTCAGCTCAGTCTCTGTTTGCGCAGCAGGGTTATGATGAAACCACGTTAGAGGCGGTGGCTGACCATGCGGGTCTTCATGTGCAGACCCTCTACAGGCATTTTGCCAGCAAACAGGAGTTGGCAACCGCAGGAGATCAGGAGCAGCTGGAACGTTTCCGGCGTGCCATTACCGACCCATCCCGAACCGATCATACCTTTGATTTCTGGCGCGCCTGGGTGCAGAACGCGGTTACTCGAATCACCCAGGAGGATGGTGGGCGCCAGTATCGAGACTTTCTGATTCAGCGCTGGAGTTCGGCGCTGGTATCCTCTCAGTTGATCCGCATCAGTCAGGAATATGAAGATCTGCTGGCCGAATCTTTTACCAAAGACTTTGGTGGCACAGCAGATAACCTGGAAATAGCCCGCCTGGCAGCCATTACTTTGTGGGGTGCAAACTCCCGGGTGCAACGTTTACACGCAAACCAGAAGAACTACGATTTTGCGCAACAGACAATCGCTGCGGTTGATACGGTGCAGAAGTTATTCAGCCATCTTCTGAAAGTATGAACCCGACAGGGCTCACACACATCTAAGGCTCAGAAAGGCTACACTGGAGCTATGAACCGCGCGACAAAAATAGCCTTACCTTTCCTGATCCTGGGTTTGTCTGTTGTTGGTGCTATAGCCATGTTTGCAGCTCGCCCCGAGGCCAGATTTAATGCGCCGGAAGCGCCCACTTTGTTGGTTGAAGTAGCGACCATAGAGCCCCAACCAATTACCTTCGAGGTACGCTCGCAAGGTACTGTCAGTCCGCGCACGCAGACCACTCTGGTGGCAGAAGCCTCTGGTCAGATTGTGGAAGTCTCACCTACCTTTGTCAGTGGTGGGTTTTTCAGCAAGGGTGATGTGCTCATACGAATCGATCCGCGCAATTATGCTTCAGCGGTAAAGCGTGCCGGTGCAGAAGTGGCCAAGGCCGAGACCCAGCTTGAAACGGAAACTGCTTTGTCTGGTTATGCGGCTGAAGATTTCGAACGCCTGCGCCAGCTTAACCCTACCCAGGGCCCGGCTACGGAACTGGCGCTGCGCAAGCCGCAACTGCGCCAGGCGCTCGCGGAATTGCAGTCGGCGCAAGCAGCCCTGGAAAAAGCCCAAGGTGATCTGGATCGTACAGTCATACGGGCACCTTATGATGGGCTTGTCAGGCAAAAACTCGCGGACGTTGGCCAATATGTTAACTCGGGCTCTCAGCTGGGGGTGACCTTTGCTGTTGACCAGGCCGAGGTGCGCCTGCCGGTTACTCAGCACGACCTGCAGTTTCTTGATATCAGCAAGCTGCGTTTGAATTCCCCCATAGAGGTTGAATTAACTGCGGAACTGGGGAACACAAATTTTCACTGGAGTGGCGAGATCCGTCGCAGCGAGGGAGTGTTTGATACCTCCAACCGCGTGTTGTACCTGGTCGCGCAGATAGAAGACCCCTACGACCTGGATGGCAAAGGTCAGGTGCCTTTGTTGGTGGGCACTTTTGTTTCTGCAAGAATTGTTGGTCGTCATGCGGGTGAGCTGGTGCTGGTACCGCGTCATTCACTGCAGCGCGGCAATACATTGTGGCTCTTAGATGAAGAGCAGCGTATCTATCCCCGCGAAGTTGAAGTGGTGCGGCGCGACAAAGACTTTGTTTATATCGCCAGTGGTGTAGAAGCGGGAGAGCAATATTGCGTGACGCCAATCGACCAGCCTCTGCCTGGCATGAAAGTGCGACTAGGTAGCTGACCCCATGCAACGCCATACTGAAGTCAAAGGCTTGATCGGTTGGTTTGCGACCAATCACGTGGCTGCCAATCTGCTCATGATTTTCATTGTCTGCGCAGGTATCTACGCGCTTTTTACGGTCAAAAAAGAAAGTTTTCCGAACCTGCAGTTTGATCAGGTGCGGGTCACTGTGCCTTACCCAGGCGCGGGTCCTGAAGAGGTTGAAGAAGGCATTGTCGTCAAGATTGAAGAGGCCGTTACCAATATCAACGGCATCAAAGAAGTTGTTGGCATGGCTTATGAAGGCTCAGGTCAGGTCATGATTGAAGTCAAGCAGGGCTTCGACGTTGGCGAAGTCACCGACGAAGTGAAACTTGCAGTTGATGGCATCAATACTTTCCCACGGGATGCGGAACGCCCGATCATCGCGAAACAGAATTTCAAACGTGGTGCGCTTACCGTGCAGGTATCTGGTGATCTCGCAGAAGCCACCATGAAGTCACTGGCGGAACAGATTCGTGATGAAATCACCGCGCTGGCCGATGTCTCATCTGCGGAAATCTGGGGTGGTCGACCTTTTGAGATATCTGTAGAAATTGCAGAATTGGATCTGCGTGAATATGGCCTGACCCTTGCGCAGGTGGCAGAAATTATTCGTCAGTGGTCAATTGATCTGCCCGGTGGTTCGATTCGTACAGAGTCAGGTGATATCCGCCTGCGTGCCAGCGGCCAGGCGTACACCGGCTATGAATTTGAGCAGATTGTATTGCTCACCAACCCAGACGGGACCCGTGTGCGCTTAGGTGACATCGCAACTATCCGTGATGGTTTTGCTGAAACCCAGAGCTATGCGTTTTTCAACGGTAAGCCGAGCCTGGGTATCAACGTGCTGTCTACCGAAAATGAAAACGAACTTGTCATCAGCCAGGCGGTGCGTGAGTACGTTGATCAGCGTAATGCGACGTTGCCCGAAGAGGTTCAACTGACGGTCTGGGGTGATGCCACCTTTTACCTGCAGGGTCGTGTCGACATGCTGGTCGGTAACCTCGCCATGGGTGCACTGTTGGTGTTTGTGATTCTTGGTCTGTTTCTGCAGCTCAAGCTTGCCGCCTGGGTCATATTTGGGTTACCCGTTGCGTTTCTGGGTGCGTTCATGATGCTGCCTGTAGTGGGCGTCACTATCAATATCATGAGCCTGTTTGCGTTTATTGTTGTGCTGGGTATCGTGGTTGACGACGCGATTATCATCGCCGAAGCGGCATATACCGAAACAGAAGAGAAAGGTTACAGCCTGCCTAACATCGTTGCAGGTGCTCAGCGTGTGGCCATGCCCGCCACTTTTGGTGTGCTGACCTCCATCATGGCTTTCCTGCCAATGTTGTTTGTTACCGGCCCGGTTGCACCGATCAATGCGGCCATCGCCTGGGTGGTGATCTGGTGTCTGCTGTTTTCGCTGGTGGAAAGTAAGCTCATCCTGCCATCGCATCTGTCTCTGATGAAATCCTCCCACGGTAGCAAGAAAGGTGTATCGGACTGGTTTGATCAACGTTTAAAAAGATTCATCGCGCATGTCTATCAGCCGATGCTTACCCGTGCGATTGAAAATCGGTATGCCACAGTCGCTTTATTCACCGGCATGATGATTCTCGCCGTAGGCCTGGTTGCCGGCGGATTTGTTCGTTTCGTGTTTTTTCCGGAACTGGAAAACGATTATGTCTCAGCCAGCGTTGAACTGCAGGAGGGCGCGCCCGAATCCCTGGTGGTGAGCGTGATTGAGCAGATGAATGGCGCGCTGCGTGAAGTTAACACTGAAATCAAAGACGAACTGGGCGTTGAAGACGATGTCATCCGCAATGTCTTCGCATATGTGATGGGCGGCAAATCCGGACGTTTCCAGGTTGAGCTCGATAAAGAACATCGGGCGGTTTCACCTAAAGAAATTGAACAGCGCTGGCGAGAGAAAGTTGGTGATATAGCCGGCACGAAAGAGCTGCGTTTTGCGGGGGCTACACATATGGGTGGCGGTCCGCCGATCGCGATAAAGCTGCAGGGCAGAGACTTCAATCTGACGGAAGCTGCCGCCGCAGATCTGGTCAGTTACCTGCGCACGGTGGAAGGACTTTACGAAATTGAAATGTCTGCTCAGGCCGGTCCGGAAGAAATCAGTTTGCGCATTAAGCCTGAAGCGGAAGCATTAGGTGTCACGCTTGCAGACCTGGCGCGTCAGGTACGCGAGTCGTTTTATGGTGCTGAGGCTCAGCGTATTCAGCGTGGCAACCAGGATGTTCGCGTGATGGTGCGGTTCCCCCAGAACGAACGACGCTCTGTGGGTAATCTGGAAAACATGTGGATCCGCCTGCCCGATGGTCGAGAGCTGCCGTTTTCTGCCGTTGCCGAGTTTGATATGCAGCCGGGATTTGCCATGATTCGCAGACTCGATGGGCAACGAACCATCAGTGTCACCGCAAATGCGGATCTTTCTGTTATAGAACCCGCACGCCTGCTTACGCAGATAAACGCGGACTATCTGCCAAAGATGTTATCTGCCTACCCGGGTGTGACCGCAGCGCTGGAAGGTAGCTCTGCTGATGAGATGGCCAGCGTACAGGAATTTGTTGTGATGTTCCTGGCGGCCTGTTTTGGCATATATGCGCTTATGGCGGTACCGCTGAAATCTTATATGCAGCCGCTGATTATCATGAGTGTCATTCCGTTTGGTGTCGTGGGTGCCATTGTCGGGCACCTGGTTATGGGTATTGCCGTCAGCTCACTGTCGCTTATTGGCATTATTGCTCTGGCCGGGGTGGTGGTGAACGACAGTCTGATTCTGGTCGACTACGTTAACAAGAAGGTCGACGAAGGCTTGGATGCGGCCGCCGCCTCTATTGAAGGCGGCGCTGCGCGCTTCAGGGCTATTCTGCTGACGTCTCTGACAACCTTTTTTGGTCTGGTGCCGATTCTCACAGAAACGTCCATGCAGGCCCAAATGGTCATCCCCATGGCGGTGTCTTTAGCGTTTGGCATTTTGTTTGCGACCGTGATTACGCTGATTCTGGTGCCTTGTCTGTACAACATTCTCGGCGATCTCGGTATGCGGCGTGGGATGGCGCAGGAGACACCTGTGCCGAAGATGTCCGAGAGCTAACAGCGCTGCAGTCGAACGACTTCTCAGTCGAACGACTTCTCAGTCGAACGACTTCTCAGTCGTACAACATAGCCGCGGCTAACAGGGCCTGAGTGTATTGTGTTTGCGGGTTGCTGAAAATCTGATCAGCGTCACCTTGCTCCACCACCACACCGTCTTTCATAACAAGTACACGGTGCGCAAGCGCACGCACCACAGCCAGGTCATGACTGATAAACAAATAGGCCAGCTGGTGTTTCTGTTGCAGTTCGCGCAGCAGTTCAACAATCTGCGACTGCACTGACATGTCCAGAGCAGAAGTGGGTTCATCCAGCACAATAAAATCCGGTCGTAATACCTGGGCGCGTGCAAGGGAGATACGCTGGCGTTGCCCCCCGGAAAATTCGTGTGGATAGCGGGACATCCAGCTGGGTTCCAGGCCCACTTCTTCCAAGGCTTCTACAACCCGGGCGTCGACCTCAGCAGGGCTTAGTTGCCGCTCATGAACTGATAAACCTTCAGCAACAATGTCACGCACGGTAAGGCGTGGTGACAGGCTACCGTAGGGGTCCTGAAACACCATCTGCATATTACGTCGCAGACTTTTGAGTTCCTGGGTTTTTAACGTCTGTATGTTGTTGCCGAGGTAACAGATCTGCCCACTGCTGGGTATCAGTTTCAGGGTGGCCAGGCCGAGGCTGGTTTTGCCGCTGCCAGATTCGCCCACAACCGCCAGGGTTTCACCGGCAACCACGGTAAAATCCATGGGATGTACCGCAATAAACTGATCACTTTTACCGAACCAGGCCTTGCCGATGTTGTAACCCACAGTCAGATCACGGGCAGACACAATTTCAGCTGCATGCTCAGGTACTGCTGCGGGTCTACCGCCGGGTCGCGAGTTGAGCAGGTGATGGGTATAGCTGTGTTGAGGGTCGGTGAAAAGCTGCTCGGTAAGACCGTTTTCTACGATTTTGCCTTGATTCATCACGTACACACGATTGGCCATGCTGCGCACAATACCCAGATCATGAGAAATCATCAGAATGGCCATGCCCATGTCGCGGTTTAGTTCTTTGAGCAGATCCAGAATGCTGGCTTGGATGGTGACATCCAGCGCGGTGGTGGGTTCGTCGGCTATCAGCAGTTTAGGCGAATTGGCCAGTGCCATGGCAATCATCACACGTTGGCGCTGACCACCCGACAGTTGATGTGGGTAAGCGTCGAGTTTGCCATTAGGGTCAGGTAGTTGAACTCGCTCCAGCAGATCCAGTGCTTTCTGGCGCGCTTGTCCGCGGTTTAAACCTTTGTGTACGCGCAGGGTTTCACCAATCTGTTTACCCACCGTATGTAGCGGATTCAGCGACGTCATCGGTTCCTGGAAGATCATGCCAACTTCACCGCCGCGTATGGCTTGCAACTGGGCTTTGCTGGCACCAATCATCTGTTCACCGTCCAGCTCAATGGAGCCGGTGGGGTGCGAGGCGTGGGGATAAGGCAGTAACTGCAGAACGGACAATGCGCTGACAGATTTGCCCGATCCCGATTCTCCAACCAGTGCAGCAATTTCGCCCGCCTGCAGATGAAAAGACACATCATCGACAACCTTGGTGTCACCAAATTGAACCGTCAGGTTAGTGACCTCAAGGATACGCTCAGACATTGCGCGTTGTGCCTATGCTGCGACGTGGATCAAATGCGTCCCGAACCCCTTCACCGACAAATATCAGCAGGGTCAGCATGGTTGCCAGGGTGACAAAAACCGATAGCCCAAGCCAGGGCGCCTGCAGATTGGCTTGTGCCTGAGTCAGCAGCCGGCCCAGGGAAGGATAGTCCAATGGCAAGCCGAGGTTTAGAAAGTCCAGCGCCGTGAGGGTGGCGATGGAGGAGTTCAAAAGGAATGGTGTGTAGGTCAAAGCCGCAGTCATCGCATTAGGTAAGACGTGCCGAAACATGATGGTCACGTTGCCCACGCCCATGGCGCGGGCGGCACGTACAAATTCAAAATTGCGCGCACGCAGAAATTCTGCGCGCACGACCCCGGTCAAGGCCATCCAGCTGAACAGGGTGAGCGTCACCAGCATCCAGAAAAAGGTAGGCTCAACAATGCTGTTTAAAATGATCAGCACAAACAGCACCGGCAAACCGGTCCATATTTCCACCATGCGTTGACCGATGAGGTCGGTGAGGCCACCAAAGTAGCCCTGTAAGGCACCTACGGTAATACCGATGGCTGATGCCAATATGGTCATAGACAACCCAAACAGAACAGATAAGCGGAAACCGTAAATGAGTTTTGCCAGCACATCGTTGCCTGTGCTGTCGGTTCCCAGCAAGTGCTCGCCGTCTGGTGGGTGGGGCAGAGGCAATTCAACATTCCAGTTAATGGTGTTGTGGGAGTAACGGATGGGTGGCCACAGAACAATGCCATCCCTGATCAGGTCTGCAACATACGGATCACGGAAATCCGCGGTGGACGGCAGTTCACCACCAAGTTCTGTTTCCGCGTAGTCCACCAGCATCGGTACAAAAAGTTTGCCGTTTAACACCATGATGATGGGCCGATCGTTAGCGATCATCTCAGCACACAGGGTGATGACAAATAAGACAAGGAAAATACGCAGGGACCATAGCGCCCTGCGATTGGCGCGAAAGTTAGCTATGCGGCGTTGATTGATAGGGCTCATAGTCAGCGCGACTCAAAGTCGATGCGCGGGTCAACCAGCACGTAAACCATGTCGCCGATCAGCTGCATCACGAGCCCAACAAGAGTAAAGGCAAACAAGGTACCAAATAGAATAGGAAAATCCCGCGTCATGGCCGCTTCGAAACCCAGCAGCCCCAGCCCGTCTAACGAAAATATAACTTCGATGAGCAGCGCGCCGGTAAACAGGATGCCCACAAAGGCGGCGGGGAAACCTGCGATAACAATCAGCATGGCGTTGCGAAACACGTGACCATATAACACGCGCTGTTCAGTTAAGCCTTTGGCGCGAGCGGTTAAGACAAACTGTTTAGAGAGCTCTTCCAAAAAGGAGTTCTTGGTGAGCATGGATAAGGTCGCAAACCCACCTAATGTGAGGGCTGTAAGCGGCAATGCCAGATGCCAGAAGTAGTCGACAACCTGGTCGATAAAAGACAGCGCTTCAAACCCTTCAGAGGTTAAGCCGCGCAGCGGAAACCAGGACAAATAGTTGCCGCCGGCAAAAATTATGATCAGCAGAATCGAAAACAGAAAGCCGGGAATCGCATAGGCGGCAAACAGCACGGCGCTGGTTGCCACATCAAAACGGCTGCCATCACGCACAGCTTTAGCGATACCCAGAGGTATGGATATGCTGTAGATGAGCAGCAATGACCACAGCCCCAGAGATATGGAAACTGGAATGCGTTCAATAACAAGGTCAACCACGGGGCGATCCTGAAAGTAACTGTCGCCAAAATCGAAGCGCATGTAGTTCCAGATCATGAGAAAAAAGCGTTCGTGGGCCGGCTTGTCGAAGCCAAACTGTTTTTCCAGCTTGGCCAGAAATTCCGGGTCAAGGCCGGAAGACCCCTGATAGCTGGAGCTGCCGCTGGGGCCTTGAGCGCCAGCTGCGGAGATGTTGGCGGTGGCGCCACCCATGGTCATACCGGAGGCTTCAGCGATGGCCTGCTCAACCGGTCCGCCCGGAGCAAATTGTACAATCACAAAGTTGATCGCGATGATGCCAAACAGAGTGGGAATGATCAGCAGCAGACGTTTGAGTAAATAACGCCCCATCAGCGACCGGTCCTGCCGAGATAGTCACGCACTTTTGCGGCTTTGGCTTCATCCCACCACCATGTGTCGCGATAACCAATGCGCAACAACGGTTCGGTCTCTTTGTAGCCAAATTTATCCCACCATACGAGACCGTGGCTGGAGCGGGACGTACCCGGCATGAAATAGAAGTTCCACAGCAGTACACGATCCAGGGCGTGTATTGCCGCGAGGAATTCGCGTTCATTGCTGGCGCGATTGACAGCGTCAATCAGCTGATCAACGGCAGGATCTTTCATGTGTGGCCAGTTGTAGCTGTACGCCTGCTCTGCGGCGGCGGACGAAAAATTGTTCTGCAGCAGAACAGTGGGTGTGTTGTTAGGTAGAAACCAGATAGCGCCGCCATCAAAATCACCTGAGCGCATGCGGTACAGCCAGTTGGATACCTCTGGCGCAACAATGGTGGCATGAATGCCGAGACGTTCCAGGACCCGCTTGTAAGCTATCCAGGAAAAGCCCAGTGCGGTAGATACCGCAACCAGCTGCAACTCAAAAGGCTCACCAGTGACCTTGTTGACCATGACATTGTCACGGATTTCCCAGCCAGCGGCGTCAAACAGCTCAATGGCTCGGATGATGTTGCCGCGGTTAAAACCCTCTCCCGCCCCTGGTGGTGGCGCAAATTCTTCAGTAAATACTCGAGCTGGCACCAGCTCGCGCATGGGTTCCAGTAACGCCAGTTCGTCGCCTGAAGGCAGCCCGCTGCTGGCCATACGCGAGTTGTGGAAATAGCTGCGTGCTAAAGACCAGAACCCGCGCTGTACAGCTTCGTTACCCCAGGCGGGGTCCCGCACCAGCCACAGCGCTTCGCGTATACGTATGTCTTGAAAGCGTTCCTGGCGCAGGTTCCAGAATATGGGCCACCACAGACCTGAAGGCAGGGATACTTTCTTGGCTTCCTGTCTGAAAAATCCTGCCTCTTTTGCCGGGATGTCGTAGGAGCGGAACCATCTTCCAGGCACTTCCTCTTCGCGCAGATCCGAGACGTGGCTTTTCACCGCTTCATGACGCACCTGATCGTCGCGGAAATAGTCGTATTTGATGATATCGAAGTTGTAGCGCCCGCGGTTCACAGGCAGCTCTGCTGCCCAGTAATCTTCAACCCGTTCATATTCAATCCAGCGGCCAACCTTAAAATCTTTGACACGGTATGGGCCACTGCCCAGTGGCGGTTCAACGGAAGTTTTAGAAGGGTCGCGGCCGGCCCAGTAGTGTTTGGGCAGCACCGGCACGCCACCAATGCGATAGGGCAGCACCGGGTCACCATGAAACGCTTCATCTATCAGGTAACGCACCTCGTTAGGACCGATGACCTCAGCTGCAGTAAATACAGAGAAGGGTTGGGAAATGGTGGGCGCGGCGTGGGTTTGATACACCTCAAAGGAGAACAGTAGATCGTCGACTGTGACCGGCTCGCCATCGTGCCAGTAGGCGCCTTCGCGGAGTTTGAAGGCGACCCAGTCGCCGTCGACGGCGTAGTAGACACCTTCGGCCAGCAGGCCATAACGGCTGGCAGGTTCATCGCGTGCTTCTTCGAGTAAGCCATCATAAATATGGCTGTAGTAGCTTTCCCAGAACGCCACGCCCAGCACCGTACGGCCCTTTGTTGCCCAGGCGATAAAGTTGTCCCAGTTGCCCTGTTCGCCAAGACGCAAGGCGCCGCCTTTAGGCGCATCGGGATTAACGTAATTGAAGTGGCTGAAGCCGGGTGGGTACTTCAGTTCGGAGAGGTAGGCGTAACCATGCGCGTAAGGAATGCCGCTGGGGGTCTCCGGTGCCAGATCATAGTTCGCGACCGCGTCATTCAAACTGCTGATGCAGATGCAAACGACAATGGCAAAGCGCAACCAGACAGCCATCAAACGGCGTTCCCCCAAACCCTTCGATGTACTGGACTATATCGATACCGTCGGCAACTATGAAGCGTTTAAACCGGGTAACGACTCGGAAAAACCTTATAGATCTGGCTCAAAACGAAATGTCTTACTAGGGGGTTGTGGGTCTGGTTTGTGTGGTGGACGCGGATGGTGCGGCCGGTGTGGGAAGAATATGGGGTAACGGTCATCGCGTAAATTGACTGTATCCTGCTCGGGCTGTGCGGGTGCCCGTTGTGCGTCGATACGGTTAGCCGCGCGCTGTGCCTCTCTGGCCAGTCGTGCGCGTTCAAGTTCTTCGGCAACGGTCAACATTTGCGTAATGAGTTCGTCAGACGTTAACGGCCGCTGGCTGCTTTGCGGCAGCACGATAGTCTCAGCGGTTGCGTTGTGTATATCGGAAAAATTGGCTTCACCAAATTCCCCGACGCTGCGATAGGCCAGGTTTTCCGAAAAAACAGAGGTGCTGGCCAGCAGCAGCGAAACCGCCCAGAGCATGCGGGCCGGGGCAGCGTTAACCGGTGGGTATTTCAATTTTCACCTCAACACCATCGACGATCTCGCGTATTTGCGTGGGTTCATCGTTGAGCAGCAGACTGCCGCCAATGGTGGTTTTATTATCGTCGGCGTCGGCTTTGAACAGGTCTGGCAACATCGGTTCGCGAGCGCTGATGGCGTCTGAGTGGTCGTCCACTAAATCGTCAATCAACTCGCGCGAAAGATTAACAGGCGCAGGCTCCTCTAGTGCTCCCTCTTCTGGAGCTACCTCTGCTGGAAGCTGACTATCCGCAGGCGCTATGGGCGGCCGCTCGGTTTCAGACGCGTCGCGTCCACAAGCACTCAGCAATAGACTCAAGAGCAGTGCATAGAAAGCGGCGTGTATCGTTTTTACGTAGGACATGTTGTCAACTTAACAATTTTGCAATGAACAACCAATGAACAACCGATGTCAGTCAGCATCTGTTTTTGCATAGTTTTGATCAATTTTCATAGGCAAGGTTCCATCTGCAGATTAGGCTGCACGGCATGAATTTACTCTTTCGTCGAAGCACTGTTGTTGCCTTCATTCTGCTGGCTTTGCCTGCTTTGCTGGCCGCAGTATCGCGGCTGCAGACTCAGCTTGCTGATCCCCTTGGCTGGGCTTGGCTGGGGTTTGCCGTGCTGCTGATCAGCGCCACATTGATAGGGTCTGGTACCAGACGCCTGAGCCGCGCAATAGTGGGTATTCTGGTTGGGTCGGCATTGGCATTGTCGCTGTTGTTTGGCGCTTCGTTTGTCTTCGGCGTCCTCGGCGTGATTGGATGGGTTGCTGTTGTGGTCACCACCTCTGGTGACTTTCTCACACGGGATGCGCGTCGTCCTGAATCGCTGGCAGATTTTTATAGCGCTGCAGTGAAAGCCCGTCGGGTGCGCAACAACCCGGAGCAGCGGGATATTGTGGAGCGGCTGGATCAGCTTGCTGCGGCGTTTGCGCGCTACGAAAGCAAGCGTCACTTACCCTGGGCAAGTTTCCTCGCTCCACCAGAAGGCATCTATCTGCATGGACCGGCGGGGCGGGGCAAGAGTTTTCTGCTCGATGGTATGTACGATATTTCATCATCGGCGGTGAAGCGACGTTTTCATTTTCATGAATTAATGAGTGCGCTGAACGCCCGAGTTAACGCGACGCCGTCGATTTCGTTTGAGCGCGCTGTGCGCTCTCTGACCCCGCGCGCCAGCCTGGTTGTGGTGGATGAAGTCAATGTGCTGGATGTTGCCAGTGCCATCCTGTTCAGCCGGCTGATGCGATTCTGGTGGCAGCGCGGTTGCACGGTGTGTATCAGCTCCAATCAGAGTCCAGAACAGTTATTCCGCAGTGTCTCTTCCAGTCATGCTGAAATCAGCAGGCTGACACATTCAATTCGCGACCACATGCAGGTCATGGCCCTTGATGGGTCCGATGATTATCGGTTGCAGAAACTCTCTGCGGACGATTTGTATCAGTATCCTGAAGACGCTGCGACGTCCGGGCGATTTTTAGACATTGTTGAGCTGCTTGCTGAAAGCCTGCTCAGCGCCGAACCCATAAAGATAGGCGACCGCCTGGTACCGTGTCAGCAACAAGCCCTGGGTGTGGCCTGGTTTGATTTTGCGGATCTCTGCGGAGGGCCACACAGCTACGAAGATTATCTGGCGCTGGCAGCTCGCTTCCCGAATCTGCTGGTCTCCGGCATACCGCAGATCAGCCAGCTGGATCAGGCCAGACGGTTTGCCTGGCTGGTGGAAATTGTATATGACGCAAAAAAACGACTGATCTTAGCGGCGCAGGTACCGCGGGATGATCTTTTTGCAGAGTCTTTGTCCGGCAAAGATCTGGATATCGATTACGTGAAAATTGTCAGCCGTCTGGCGGAAATGCAGTCTTCTGAGTACAACTACTCTCTGGCTTGAAAGGTTGCGGGCATAAAAAAACCGCTGATCAGCTGCTGCCGATCAGCGGTTTCTTAACCCGTCTGTCGAGTTATCGAGCGCTGGCTACTTCCTGAGTCTGCTGATCCATGCCTCGCTCCGCGCGCATCTGCGCTGACTCTTCTTCCGTTAAGAAGCGGAACAGCATGGCGCCGAACAACATTTCTTCCCAGGACTGCTCACCCCAGGTGACCTCAGCACTTGGGTCAGGGTTAGCTTTGTTCTGAGCTGAATTGTCCCACCAGCCTGTTTGCACCAAGGTGGTGCCAGCAGGTATGAATTTTGGCTCTTTGAACTGATAGTCCGTTTGCCAGTTGAAATCATAGTGAGGTACCGACAACAGCATTTCTTCTGTGCCGTCAGGGTATTTCGCGATGAAGTTGGCTGCCTTGCCACGGAAGTGGGCGTGGGGCATCAGGTTAAACAGCAGCGCATCTTTGGGAATGGTGCGTTCAACAGTTTCCATGTGATTGGCCGCATGTGGCGGAATCTTGATTCTTGGGTTTGCGGTAAACACCGAGATGATCGGATGTGTGGGTGGCTCATCGTATACCCAGATGCCCATTTTTGACTCATCCACAGTGGCGCGACCCACCGGGGTGTAATGCATCTGAAACTCAATGGTGGCGTCAGCAGGTAGAAAGGTACCGGTGCCTTCCGGGTATGCCTGGCTGGTAACCCCTGGAGCATAGCCACGCAGGCCACCTTTGCGGTTCAGCTCACCTTTGTATTTACCTTCGGTCATGATGTCGCCGAACGTGGTGATGGTGTGGTGCAATACCGCGCGATCGCCGGGCAGAATTTCCGCGGCATGTACCCAGACATCTTTCCCGATGGGGTTGTCAACCAGGTGATACTGATAGTCCACGACGCCAGTGGCCGGAATTTCCATGGCTGGAATGTCGATAATGTAGTCAGGGTCACCTAACTCTTCTGAGGCGTTCCAGTCTGAGTATGTGTGATCGATGTTGGCCAGCAGATCTTCGCCTTCGCCGCGTGGTGCGCCCGCTTCAATCCAGTGCACCAGGGTTTTAACTTCATCATCGCTCAGTGAACGATCGTTAGCCCATTCGCCGTGTGCCGGGTCAGCGTGCCAGGGTGGCATACGCTGGGTGCGTACAACTTCGCGGATCATCAGAGAAAATCCACGCACCATGTTGTAGTCGGTCATTGCCCAGGGGCCGATGCCATCTTCACGGTGACAGCTGACACAGTTGTCGGCCAGGATGGGCGCAATGTCTTTGCTGTAGGAAATATTCGCGTGGCTTGCACGTGCGGTTTTTTCAGGGAAATTGATCAGGCAGCCGAGTGAATCAGTGCTGGCCAGGGCCACCGGCTCACCGGCAGTCATGTTGGCAATGGCGTCGCGCAGGTAGTGTGCAGAAGCTTCTTTCTTCTGGTTCTCGTAGGTCAGGCGATCATCCAGCGCGCCACGGTAGGCGACTTTCCAGGTCTTCGGGTCGACAACAAATACTTCTCCGGTACGTACCAGATCCAGCGACTCACCAATGATCTGGGTGTCGTCCATCAGGATCGGAATATCATAGCCAAACTCATTGGCTTCTTTGGTGATGCTGGCGCGATTGTCCTGCAGATTTGAGTTGAGCATGAAAAATTTGACCTTCTGGTCAGCAAATTCATCGCGTAGCTCGGCAAATCTTGGCGCTGCGTTGCGTACAATAGGGCAACCATTACCCTGTACCAGGAAAACAACAGCGTCCAGGTTGCTGTGGTAGTACAGTTCATGGGAATCGCCGGTATGTGCCAGCAAGCGGAAGTTTTCGACCCGCTCACCGACTTCGACGGCCCATGCTGAGGTTGCGACACAGGCCGCAACCAGAATTGAAACGATACGAAACATCAGTCTCTCCCACGTTCTCTTAAAAGATATGTCTGTCAAAGTTACCAAACTACTCAACTTAGTCATAGTAATTAGTTAAGCAGAATTGTAAGGCGTTGCCCCCTAGCCACACCGCTGTGGTTATACTGACGCCGCAATACATCTGGGGGAAGGTGGAATGAACGAGTTGGGATATCCGTTGGCCGGGTTAAAGGTACTGGACTTTTCCAGAGTGCTGGCAGGCCCTTTTGCCGGTCGAATGCTGTGTGATCTGGGTGCCGATGTGGTGAAAATTGAGCCGCCAGATGGTGATGTAACGCGCCTGTGGGGCAAAGTGATCGCGGGACTGCCTGGTTATTATCATCAGCAGAACGCCGGTAAACGAAATATCTGTGTTGACCTGCGCGCACCGGGCGCGCGGGAATTGATGCTGGAAATGGCCGCTGAGGCTGACATAGTGATTGAAAATTACCGACCGGATGTGATGGATCGTCTGGGTTTGGGTTACGACGACTTATCAGCTGTGAACCCTGAACTGATCATGCTGTCGATCTCCGGTTTTGGCAGGAACGGTCCGGAAAGTCATCGTGCGGCCTATGCGCCGATTGTGCACGCTGAAACGGGCCTGATGGCGCGTCAGGCACAGCGCTGGGATATCCCATTCTCAGACCTGCCGCTTTCTGTGGCCGACACCAACGCCTCTCTACATGGTCTGGTGGGGCTGCTCGCAGCGGTGATTCAGCGTCACAGCACCGGTCAGGGCCAGCATATTGATATCGCCATGATGGATGCCACGATTGCGACAGATGATCAAACCCACTACGCCATTGAAGCTGCCGGCGGCAGTGGTCCCTTACCCAATGAAACCTGGGAAACCGGTGCCGGTCCGGTGCTTGTATCGGCGGACATCCGCTATTTCTGGAAACAGTTGAGTACGTGCCTGGATGTTGCTGATCCGGCCACTCCGGAGACGCCGTTTAAAGAAAAAATCGCGCTGCGTCGGGCATGTATCAAGGCGTATATGTCACAACTCGACAGCCTGGAAGCGGTCGAGGCGGGCATGGCAAAAATGAACCTGGCCTGGGGCGAAGTCCGCGACCCAACAGACATCGTCAATCAGGTGACGGTGAAACATCGGGGTGTGATCACCCAGGTGGATGATCGGCAAGGCGGTACTCGACCGGTGACCCAGTCACCTTATCGGTTCTCCAAGGCTAAAAGTGGCGTGAGAGGACCCGCACCTTATAGAGGTGAACACAACCATGAGGTGCTTGTGCAGTGGTTGGGGAAAAGCGATCAGGACATCGAGGCGCTGGGCGTGCAGAAAATTCTGCAGGCTGAATGAGACAGCCGCTTGTAACCTCCATCAGCATTGCCACGCTGGGCCTCAGGTGTGCAATGTTCATGTCTTGTTGACCGGTCTTTGCTAAAGTAGCGCGCCAGCAGCATCCCAGAATTAGCAGGTAGGAGACCGGTGTGAGTGACAAGATAACGCTGACCGATTTAGACGCCACCGCCGCATCAGCGGAAGATGGCGCAGAGCAGTTGGAACTGGAAAGTATTCACGACTTTGCCACCAAGTTAACCCTGCCCGGTTCCAAAGACGCGCTGGAACATTACGTCAACTGGCAGATCGCTTTGCGCGCAGGCGGCGCGCCGGACGGTGTGGATTTTGATCCGGATAAAGTGCCTGACTTTGCACCGCTGTCGATTAACCTGGATCTCACAACCGCCTGCAACTATCAATGCGACCACTGCGTCGACCTGGATATTCTCAATACCGGCATTCGTTACGAACACGACAAGCTGATGTCATCTATCGAGCTGATGGCCAAGCGCGGGCTGAAATCTGTGATTGTGATTGGCGGTGGTGAACCCACGCTGTATCCCAAGTTTGCTGAAGCTATTCGTTTCATGAAAGAGCTGAAGCTGCAGGTGGCCATCGTCTCCAACGGCACCGGCAATAAGAAAATTGCTGAAGTGGCGGATTGTATGGACAGCCAGGATTGGGTACGTCTGTCCCTTGATTCCGGCACTGACCCGACTTTCCAGGCGATGCACAATCCGCGCAAAGACTTCAAGTTGGAAGACATCTGCGCAGTTGTACCCAGTATCAAAGCTGCTAACCCGGATCTTACCGTTGGTTTTTCTTATATCGTGACATGGCAGGGTGCGTTCATTAACGATACCAACATTGTTGAAAACCTGCATGAGATCGCGCGCGCAGCCAAGTTGGCAAAAGACAACGAATTCAGCTATATCAGCTTTAAACCCTTCCTGACACGTGATGAATTGAATAATGCTGAAGTGATCGATATCAAGGCACAGGAAAACCTCGCCAACACCATCGAACGGATACAGGCGCAGTTGGAAGAGGCCCTTAAGCTTGAAAGCGACACGTTTAAGGTGCACAGAAGCACGGGTTTAAAAGCCATGTTGCAGGGCAAAACCCAGTCGTTAGCTAAGCAGCCCCGTCAGTGTCACATGCAGTTCTTCCGCCAGGTACTCAGTCCTTTAGGTTTATACAACTGCCCGGTTTACCGTAATCAGGAACACGGGCTGTTGGGTGATAAAAATGCTGTGGCTGATGAACTCAGTTATGAGGTTACCCGTGCAACAACGGCCAGTTTGATCAAGTCGTTTAACGCGACCTCCAACTGTGAAAAAGTGACCTGTCTGTACAACGATGTGAACTGGTGGATTGAACACCTGATCGAAAATCCGGCGGAGCTTGCGAAGCTGAAAACCGACTTTGAGGCGGAGCCGGACTACTTCCTGTAGGCGGCCAGCTCGCGCTGGCAGGCGGCAAATACCATCTTCACGGTGACGTCTTCCATACAGACCTGACGCTCGAGCGGGCAGACTTTCTGGTGGCAGGGACCGCAAGGCACCTGCACTCGGACGATGGTTTCTTTGCCGTGGCTGGTGTCTGTCCAGCGTTCTTCGGTCGGGCCAAATACCGTCACCCGATGAATATCAAACGCACGCGCAAAATGTCTTGGTCCGGTGTCATTGCCCAGCAGCAGATCGCTGCGTGCAATCAGAGATTTCAATTCACCTAATGTTATGCAGGGGTTATCCAGCAACAGATGAGGTTGCTGCATGGCGTTGGCGATAGCCCGCGCCAGGGGCTCTTCGCCAGGCCCCGGACTGATGGCAACCCCAGCGCCAAATTCCTTGACCAGTAAATCAGCCACCTCGGCAAAGCGCTCCGGGGCCCAACATTTTGATGCGCCGAAGTTGGCGCCAGGACACAAGGTGACCAGCGGTTTTGATTGATCCATACCTGCCGCCAACAGCAGTTCATCCAGGTGCTGATCATCTTCTTCCTGGATAACCAGTTGCATCTGATCGCCGGGAGGTTCGCAGCCCAGCGCAGCAGCCAGCACAGCGTAATACTCCACCAGCGGCATCGGTTCGAATGGTCCGGGATTGGGCACTTCTTTTCTGTTGGGGCGCTTGTTAGGAACTCTGATACGGTCGGTTAAAAGCAAGCCTCTGCCGTCGCGATTGAAGCCGACCCGTCTTTTCGCGCCACAGCGAAAAGCCAGCCAGGCGCTGGAAAAAGAGTTGGGCAGCAGCACAGCCAGATCAAAATTTTCCTGCTGCAGTTTTTTAACAAACTCCGCTTTGGCCTTTTTGTGCTCGGCGGTCTTGCCTTTGGTTGGCCAGGTTGCCACCTGCCCAAGCCAGGGGCTGCCCGCAAGCACCGATTGCAGATGTTTGTACATGACAAAGGTAAAGTTGGCCTGGGCAAAGCGTTTGTGCAGACTGGCCAGAAAAGGGGTTGCCATGACCACATCGCCGACCCAGGTTGGCAATACCACAAGAATTTTCTGTGGCTCCGACTCGAACTGCAGAGCAGCTGGTAGATTTGTAATCAATGAGGCTCGCTGATGTTCAGACAAATAGCAGGGGGTAGTATATCCTAGCACCTGCTGCGGCATAGCCCGGATCTTTTGGATAACATGTATGTCAACGTTTGAAAAAATCCACGTCGAACCCAAATCGCTTCTGCCCAAACTTGCAGCGTTGCGCGAGCAGGGCAAAACCATCGTATTTGGTAACGGTTGTTTTGATCTGGTGCACGTCGGTCACATACGCTATATCGAAGCGGCCCGGGAGCTGGGGGATCTGCTGGTGATTGCGGTCAACACCGAAGCCTCTATCCGCGCCAATGTCGGTCGCGAAAAACCGATTAACCCCTGTGAAAAACGGATGGAAGTCATGGCGGCACTGGAAGCTGTGGATTTTGTCATTCCACTGGAAGACGCAACACCTATAGCGCTGCTTGAACTCTTACGTCCAGACATTCAGGCCAAAGGCACAGATTACTCGCTGGACGCCATGCCCGAACGGGAAACGGTAGAGAAAATTGGTGGCCGCATTGCCTTTGTCGGCGATGAGAAGCAGCACAGCTCAACCGAATTGCGACGTATCCTGCGCGAACGTGGCGCGTTGTAAGGTCTACCGTGTCGCGTAGAATTTCTCTGGTACTGGGGAGTGGCGGCGCGCGTGGTCTTGCCCATATCGGCGCAATACAGGCGCTTGAAGCACACGACTATGAAATTGCCTCAATTTCCGGTTCTTCAATGGGCGCTTTGGTCGGCGGGATACATGCTCGCGGTAAGCTGGATGTTTATACACAGTGGGTCCGCGCGCTGACACGTAATGACATTGTGCGCCTGTTGGATGTGGGTTGGGGTCGTTCTGGTGGACTATTCAAAGGCCAGCGCATCATTGAAGTGCTCCGTGAACTGGTAGGTGACGAAGACATCGAGGACCTGCCAATTGGATTTACGGCTGTCGCCACGGACATCAACCGCAAACAGGAAGTGTGGATGAATAAAGGCCCGTTGTTTGCGGCGGTGCGTGCGTCAATTGCTATCCCCATGGTGTTTGAGCCCGTCAGGCGCGGCAGCGCCTTGCTGGTAGACGGTGGCGTCTTGAACCCGTTACCGATTGCGCCAACGCTCACAGACGATACCGCGTTGACTGTTGCCGTAGATGTAAATGGTTTAGATCATAGACCGGTGGTGAGTCGAGTGCGGCCACAAGCAGAGCCGCGCAAAGCAGAACAGGACGAGGAAGCCACCGGTATAAAACACGCGATTGCGGAATTTTTTGAGGAGTGGATGCCGAGCGGGCAGCCAGCTGAACCCGAGCAGAGCATGTTTGCCATTGCTCTGGAGGCAATGGACTCCATGCAGGTCACCATCTCGAGACTCAAAGCATCGGTCTACAATCCGGACATCCTTGTACAGATACCCCGCAATACAGCTCATTTTTTTGAGTATGAACGTGCCGGTGAACTCATTGATCTGGGTTACGAGCGTATGGACAAAGAACTCAGCGAGCTGGAAGCGGATCACTGACCAAAAGATTCCGAGTGAATCTGTCTGGGTGATACGCCTAATTCTTCTAAACCCTGCTGCAGTTCCGTCATGAAAGACGTTGGGCCGCAGATATAAAAATTTGCGTTGAGGTCTGGCAGTTTCTGGCGGAGATCCTCGGCTGTTAAACGTCCCACCAGGTCGGGCTCGTCTTCATTGAGCGGTTGGCTGTACGTCACTATGCTCTTTGTCTGCGCACCTTTTCCAGCGTATCGGGCAACGTCATCTGCCAACGGGTGGTAATGGCTATTTCTGGCCTGGTGAAAAAACCACAGGGGGTGTGAAGGATACTTTTCGGTCACATCAGCGAGCATGCTGATCATGGGGGTGATGCCTACGCCTGCACTGATCAACACCGTCGGTTGTTGATTGTGTTGGTAAAAAAAGTCACCGCTGGGTGGTTGCGCTCTGATGAGGTCTCCTTCTTGAATCCGATCATGCAGATATTGAGAGGCACCGCCGCGCGCTTCTCGTTTTACCGAGATGCGATAGTGCCCGGCCGATGGCGCATCAGACAGTGAGTAGGTTCTGGTTACACGCTCGCCGGTATCTAAAGTGAGTTTGATGGGCAGATGCTGGCCGGCCTGAAAAGCCTGCAGCGGTTGCGTGCTGTTGCTGTGCAGATAGAAAGATGTGACGTCATTACTTTCTTGGATTTTGGACACGATCCTAAGCGGCTGATCTGTGGCGGGTTCATGCCAACGCAAGGCGATAGCTTCGTGGGTATCTACAATGGCGTCGAGGCTGACTTTAATCAATCGCTGTGCTCCGGGTATGGCGGTAACAGCGCTTGAGTCCCAGTCGATTTCAGCTCGACCGCTAACCTGTAACACCCGCCCACTGCCAAAATCAACAAAGGTCATGCCAACGCGAGGGTCTTCCACAAGATTGCCCACCGTATTGAAGTGGTTGTTACCGGAGAAATCCGGCCACACCAAGGTCTGGTCATCTGACACGCTGACAAATCCGGCCTCTCCGCCTCGATGCGAGGCGTCCATGCCAGAGGCTGGATCTTCATTGTTACCTGCAAAACCGCTGGCGATGAAAAAGGTGCTTGCAGCTGCAATCATTTGCATCTGATCACTGCTCAGTACGTCATTGTTTGTGCTGGTTGGATGACTGCGCTGTGTAGGCAGGTACCACTGGCGATGATGGATGTACTGTGGGCAGTTGCCAAAGGCCTGACCAACACGGACGATTATTGAGTCGGTATCCTTTTCTGATACGTAACCGTTCATGCGGTTACGACGAGCGCTGGCAAATTCGATGCCCAGCAGTCCAACCTGTGCACCGGCTGAGATTGCTTCGGCTAATGCATCACCCGGTGTGAGGGTGTTTTTGATCTGCAGCTGCCGCGGATTAGGTGAGCTGACAAATCCTGGTTTGTCTCCTAACAAGCTGATCCACGGTCTGCCTTGAACATCGCGCGCGGCTACAACAATAAAAGGCAGGGCCGTGTAAAACTCGCGATGCTGTTCCGGCATATGGTCCCGCACTACCTGGTGCGCCCAGCTTTCAATGCGCTCGCGCACGCCCATGGCTGTTTGTACCCGCTGCTCGCCTTTGTGGAACGGTGATGCGCTGGCCATGTCTGTCCTCCGTGATGTCTTTGAAGAAGCCTTAACGGCGCCGTTCATGCCGCTGCAGGTTGTATGAATTCCACCCGCAAACCACCGGGAATGGTGTACATACCATGACGTGTGCTGCTGCCGCCCAGGGGTTCAGGCCTGAATTCCACGCCCACGCCCGCATGCTGTTCGAGGCGCGCATGCACCTCGTCGAGATCGTTCACGGTAAGGGCGAAGTGGTGTAAACCCACGTTCTGGTGTCGATCAAAGGCGTTTGCCTGTTCCGGCTTTGGCAATTGCCAGAGGGTAACCATGACGGTGCCATCGGAGAGGAACAGGGCGGGGTAATCAGGTTTGGCGCCGACCTCGGTGAAGTTCAGCGTGTCGATAAAAAACGCCGCGGTAGCGGCTAAGTCGGGCACGCTGAAACCCGCATGATGGATACCTTGGGTCAGTGGGTTTGCATGGATCATTGTCTGTCTCGTTGTCTTCAGTGAATGTGCTGCATACGTTAGTGATGTTCGTAAAGATGATAAATGCTTAGAATATGACTTTATAAATGCAAAAAAGTAATTAATCGTGGACAAGCTTGCCGCTATGCGGGTTTTTGTTGAAATTGCTGAACGGGGCAGCTTGACCGCCGCTGCTGTTGCGCTGGGCAAAGCCCAGCCGACCGTCGTACGCAGCCTTGCGAACCTTGAAAGTACATTGGGCGTGCGTCTGTTGCGTCGTACGACCCGACGCCTGTCATTGACGGAAGCGGGTCACAGCTACCTTGAGCGTGCCCGGCGCATTCTGTCGGATGTTGCTGAAGCGGAAATGGTGCTTTCAGCGAGCGATACAACACCCGTCGGACATCTGCGTATTACAGCGCCAGTCACCTACGGCCAAACCCATGTCAGTCCTTTGTTGTTTAAATTCCTCAAGCGCTACGCCGACATAGATGTCGAACTGCTGTTGTTGGACCGGGTGGTTAATCTGCTGGAGGAAGGCATTGATCTGGCTGTTCGTATTGGTCCGCTTGCTGATTCGTCGATGATTGCCACCCAGGTTGATGATATGCGTCGAGTCATTGTCGCGAGTCCGAAGTGGCTGGATCAGCATGGTGTACCAGAACATCCAACCGCGCTGGCAGAGGTCGCCTGCGTTCGATTTAGTGGTATTTCAACGTTGAATACCTGGCGTTTTGCCAGCAACGGTGAGGAAATTGCAGTCCCGGTACAAGGGCCGCTGGTCACAAATCAGGCCTTGCCTGCAGTTGCGGCGGTGGCCGCAGGGTTAGGTTGTGGGATGTTCCTTGCTTATCAGGTTGCAGATCGAGTGCAACGTGGCGAGTTGGTCATCATCCTAGAAGCTTATGAGCCAGCACCCCAACCGGTTAACCTCGTTTATACCGAAACGCGGCTCATGACCCAGCGATTAAGGGTGCTGCTCGACTTCATGCGTGACAATTTTCGCCAGTCCGAGCTCTCGGATGTGATTTAGTAAAGCAGTAGAATCGCAAAAAAATGCGTGGCACTGCCCGCCAGCACAAACAGGTGCCAGACACCATGAAACCAGTGATAACGATGGTCGAAGATAAAAAAGATAATGCCTGAGGTATAGAAAATGCCACCGGCAACCAGGGTCGCAAAGCCCAGTGGTGGCAGAGCGGCAATGATCGGGTCCAGCGCAAAAACGCACAACCAGCCCATGATCAGATAAATCGCCATTGACGCGATGCGGGTACCTTCCCGTCGCACCGCGTCCAGAACCATGCCAACTATCGCCAGACCCCAGATGGCGCAAAACATCAGCCACGCCTGGGTGCCTTCAAGTGCAACCATAAGGAACGGCGTATAAGTGCCCGCAATCAGCAGATAGATGGCCTGATGATCAAGTACGCGGAATATGCGTTTCGCGCGGCCGCGAAGACTGTGATACAGGGTAGAGACAAGATAAAGCCAGAACAGCGTCAGCCCGTAGATGCTGAAGCTGATGATTTTATAGAGGTTACCTTCGTTGGCAGCCATGCTGATCAGCACCACAGCACCCATCAACGCAAGCGCTGCACCTGCCAGGTGGGTAATGCTGCTGAACCGTTCGCCTTCATACATTTGTTTAGTTCTCGCAGCGCTATCCGTCAGATAGCCTTGTTTATTCTCCAGAGATACGGCTAGATGCTCAAACGAGGCAGAGGGGTAAGCGTCATTAAAGCTACACAGACAGGTATTTTCTTAGGTTTATTGCTGCTCTTTTCAGCCTGTACGTCTGAGCCTGGAGACGCCGACCCACCCATGAATAACGCAATTGAAGCACGAAGTCCTGCCGGCGTCTTGTGGCAGGTTGAAGATATCGATGGCGGCGGGATCATTGACAGCTCGCACATGACGCTGCAGATAGCTGATGACACGGGCATCAGCGGATCCACCGGCTGTAACCGGTATTTTGGAGCTGTGGTCATTGCAGGGTCTGCTTTTGAGGCGGATGCTATCGGCACTACGCGCATGGCCTGTGCGCCTGCGCTGATGCAGCAGGAACAGCGTTTTGTGCAGGCGTTACAAGCAGTGCGCAGATTTGAGCTGAGCGGTGACTTCCTGTTGCTGTACGATGAAAGTCAGGTATTGCGCCTGCGGCTGATAGCGACAGATGAACCTGGCCCAACCACAGCGCCTGGCTGAACCAACTGCATCCAGATCAAACCCCGTTTACTCAAAAATCCCGGTGAGATATTGTGAAAAGCGGGATCAGCGCCTTGCGGATCGTGATCGCAGGAACAGATGAGAACAAAAGCGAAAGGACAAGACCATGTTAAAACGAGTATTACTGCCAGGGTTACTCGTCGTTGTGCTACTGCCATTGGCAGCTCACGCCGATAAGCTCACAGAGATTATCCAGAAAGATCTCACCACGCTGGGTTACGAGCCGGGTAACACCAAAGGGGAGATGACCACCGCTACCGCGATTGCGATATCAAAATTTCAGGCAGACAATGGCTTGGAAGTGACTGGTGAGCCCAGTCCGCAGCTGGCAGGGGTGGTTAAATCGCGACTAAAAGACGGTCCAGCTCCGGCTGGTTCTGGTGCCGTTGCCAAAGCAGCACCCGCATCGGTTCCGACAAATGATCCTGCTGCATTGCAGGCCGCACAGCAGGCTTGTCTGCAACAGAAAGTTGCCGACGCACAGGCATCGGAGAAGAAAAAACGTGGTTTTGGCAGTCTGATGCGGGCCGTGTCACGTACAGCCTCGCGGCTTGGCAGTGAGCTGGCTGGCGATATCGCGCGAACTTCTCGGGACATTTACGACGTTAACGCAACTGCAAACGACCTTGATTCAGCGGCAAAAGACCTTGGGCTGACGCCAGAAGACGTTGAAGCTTGCCGTAACCCCTGATCTGGGTCTTCCAACAGACAGACTAACTGAGGTGTCGCGATGCCCAATTTCCATCTAGTCATAAACCGAAGCGTTAAATCTGCGTGGCTTGCTGTCAGCACAGCCGGCCTGTTAATGACCGCCTCGTTTTCCCTGCATGCACAGGATAATTTCCGGGCGCTGCTGGTTTCCGGTATCCAGACAGATTATGGCGATGTGGTCACTCAAGGTGGCCCGCTGGGGCAATTCGGTGTCGAAGATCTTTGCCGCAACAGTGACACTCTGGGTTGGGCAATGGGCAGTATTGTTGATGAAGTGCAGCGTAGTATGGTCAATGCAGGCTCGCCCATAACACTGGATGATATTCAGCGTATGCCGGGTGCACCAACTCGACCTGGTATTGAAGAAGGATTGCGCACGGCACGAGACAGTTTATGCCGTGGTGAGCCGGCGCAGTCCGTGCAGCCGTTTGTTATTGCCTATTCGTCCTGCCGTATGGCCATGGTCACGCCACGAAACGCCATGGATATGCATCTGCCTCCAGGGCAGGCCCAGGCAACCATGTCTATGGCTGATTTTGCCGAACGTCAGGTTATCTATGTGGATCTGAAGCGTGATCTGAATGCGGCAGCTGGCGTGTTGGGGTCTGGATGGACAAACAGTGTGCAAATGACCGGGGCCACCGACGGTGGTGAGCGTATTGGCTATGACACAACGCGCTACAACTTCGAATATTCTGGTAGCCCGGGTGGAGGTGGTGGCATCGGAGGCCTGCTTGGTAATTCCATATCGGTTTCAAATAGCGGTCAGATCTGGGTGTCTGACGACGTCCCGGGCGTGGGCATAGTGCAATCCTTCTATGAAAATCTGACTAACGAAATTAGTCGCGATGAGGCGTCAACCGGTATCTTCAGCGGCATGATCGAGAATATGGGTGGCATGTTGCGTGAAGGCTTACCCCTGGAAATGGACAGCACCGTAAGTTCCACAATTATGGGGCGCACATCGGTGAGTGGGCGTTCGCATATGCTGGTCACCGGTATCGAGGAGGTGAACATTAATCCCCAGTGGTGTTCGCAAAGTCTTATGCCGCCGGATTACCCGGTTATGGACATCAATCAACAGATTCAACAGAGCATGCAGGATGCCGGCGTTGATGCTGCTGAGTTAAACGAAGCCATGCAGGAATTTAATCGCGCCATGCAGCAGATGACGCCGGAGCAGCGCGAGATGATGGAGCGTATGGGTATGGGCAGCATGATGGAGCAGGCCACAGGTGGTGCGGTAGCTTTACCCGCCCCTTCCGCGGCACCGACTCAAGCTGCACCCAGTGCATCGGGACTGTCTGCGGCTTTGCGTGCAGATAATCCAACTGAGACGACGCAGAATTACCTCCAGGCCCTGGGTTATGAAACAGGTAACGCCAGCGGTGAGCTATCCATCGAAACCACCATTGCAATCTCACAATATCAGGCCGAGAACGGACTGGAAGTTACCGGCGAGGTCAGTACCCAGCTTGTAGAGCGACTGGCAGCGGATGTGGATCGATTGTGACAATCATCTGTCACGGGGTGACAGATGATCCTTTTAGCCGCTGGGGTCCTTCATGCTGCGTTCCCAGAAATGAGCGACGATATAAAACTGCCATCCTAACAGGCCGTTGATTGCGAGGATTAATATCAACGCGAACACGCCTAGATTGCCGCTCAGCGTCAGATAAACACCAACCAGCACCAACACACCTACTACTGCAATCTGTGAGTAGAAGTCTTTCACTGTGGCCGGTGCCAGATCTGCAAAAAAGGCCTCATTGTCTTTGTCTTGCCGCGCCAGTTTCATACTTGTGTGGCCGACTCTGTTCATCATGGCAAACGTCAGTGCGAAGAGCAGAAACCAGATACCCAGTTCATCAGGTTCCAAATTGGCGATGAGCATAAATTCAACAAGACCGATAAAAAACGGGTAGACCAGATCACTGATTACCGGGATGCGACTGAATCGCATGACGTTGCTGGCGTAAACAACCCAAATCAGCACGATACCCATGAAGGTGGCAAGCACCTGTCCCCAAGCCAGTGCCGAGTACCACGTGAGTTCAAGCAGATACTGAGATTCAGTGATATGGGACCAGAGCAATTCCAGTGCCACAGCTTGCACAATGCTCAGCATGGTCAGTAGTACTGATGGAAAGTGCTGCTTTGCACGACTACGCATATTGTTCACAGTGGTGCTCCGAGCAGATTTGGAATGCCAGTCTAATCTTTCGATGGGGCCCTAAACAGGCCCTTGCGGACAGGCTTGGAAACAAAAAGCTAAGAAATTGCATTCTCTTCGATTGATTTAGGTTTTTACCCCCCTCTATCTCTTTGGTTTCCTGAAACTGGAGAGAATGTTGGCTCGATTGTTTTTTAGTGCGTTGCTGGTGCTGCTGGCAACCTCAGCGCAGGGTGACACCCGCCAGGCTGCAGTGGCGGAGAAATTCAGCGAATTTCGTGGTCAGGTGGTATTGGTGGATTTCTGGGCGTCATGGTGTGGCCCCTGCCGCCGTTCCTTCCCGTGGATGAACGCCATGCAGGAAAAATATGGTGCTGACGGGTTCCGCGTGATTGCTGTGAATGTTGACAAAGAGCGTGCAGCAGCCAATCAGTTTCTGGATAAGTATCCTGCTGAGTTCACCGTCTGGTATGACCCGGAAGGCGATCTCGCACGAACTTTCAACGTTTCTACTATGCCGACCTCTTTCATTCTGGACGTCAGCGGCCAGGTGCGCAGCGCGCATCGCGGTTTTCTGAACAGCGATAGAGATGATTACGAATCTGCCATCGCGCAGATCCTTTCTGACAACAACAAACGCAGGAGCTCCGAGTCGTGAGAAAACCTTTTTATCTGATTCTGCTGTCTGGATCGACACTGCTTACGGGTGGTTGCGCAGTAGATGGCGTGCAGGCCTGGGAGCGCCAGGATCTGGCTAAACGCGAAATGTCGATCATTAACGAACCGCTGGAAGCCGCCACTGATGATCACATTTACTTCAGTAAAGAAGCCTCCAGCGGTGGCCAATCCTTTGGTGGCGGAGGCTGCGGATGCAACTGAAAAACAAAAATAAAAAGGCCATTTCGATTGCCCTGGCCGCGGCGACATCCAGCTTGCTGGCAAACGCCGCAGCGGGTGAAGAGAACGATGTTGGCTGGGAAATTGATACGTCCGTGCTGTACTACGGTGAACAGGATGATCGTGTTGAAGACACCAGTCTTGCTCTGCGTATCGCACGAAAATTTGAAGACGGACGAGCTCTGGTTGCGGGTTTAAGCACCGACTCTCTGACGGGTGCTTCGCCGACAGGTGCGGTGCCGCTTGGCGAACCGCAGACGTTTACGCGTCCATCGGCCCGCGGCCAGTATGTGACTCAACCGGGTGAAATCCCCCTCGATGACAGTTTTAAAGACAGTCGTGTGGCCGGCTATGTGAGCTGGACCCAACCGTTTGGCGAGAACTGGACAGCTAACGCTGGTGTATCTTTCTCTACCGAATACGACTACGAGCACCTGGGTTTTAACGCGTCCCTGGCTCGGGATTTCAACAACAGAAACACCACGGTTGCGGCGGGCTTTGCCTATGCCCAGGATGAACTGGATCCTGAAGGCGGAGCGCCCATACCCTTAAGTGAAATGCGCGGTATCGGCGATACATCTAATAAACTCAGTGGCACCCAGGATAAAACCGTCACGGATCTGTTGATTGGCGTTACACAGATATTGAACGAGCGCATGTTGCTGCAGGTGAATTATTCGTTCAGCCAGTCGGACGACTATCACAACGACCCGTTCAAGTTCTTAACCGTTCTGGATGCCAGCGGTGCACCGGTGCCGGGTCCGGATGGTCTGTACAGCTACCGATTCGAAAACCGGCCTGATGAGCGTACAAAACACAGCCTTTTCACCAAATTGAAGACCTATATTGGTGGCGGTGCGTTGGATACGTCTTATCGGTTCATGACGGATGATTGGGGTATCAATTCGCATACGCTGGACATGCGTTATCGGTTTAATATTTCAGACCGAAATTACATAGAACCCCATGTGCGCTTTTATCAGCAGAGTGAGGCGGATTTTTATCAGGCTAATCTTATTGCTGGAGACACAGTGCCCAATGAAGCGTCAGCCGACTACAGGCTGGCTGAATTCACCGGCACAACCTTTGGCGTTAAAGTGGGCCACAAGTTCAACAACGGCAACGAAGCCTCTGCGCGACTGGAGTGGTACAACCAGGACGGTACGGCCAAGCTGGCTGGTGTAGCCGGTGGTGCTAACGTATTCCCCGAGTTGGATGCGGTTATCTTCCAGGTCAGCTACCGGTTTCATCTCTAGCGGCTGTTGAGAAGTGTTTTGCCTGTTGATGCCAGTATAGTGAAAGCTGCGCCCGAGCCTTTGTCGTTCGGGTCGCGGCAGACCACCATCACGCCTAAAAACGGCTACTTTGTCGGCGAGTTTTTTGCCATGGGTTGTCCCTGTCAGGTGCTCATGGAAACGGATGATGTGCAGCTCGCGGAAGGTCTTCTGGCGAAAGTCAGAGATGAAGCCTGGCGCATTGAAGCGCGTTGGAGCAGGTACCTGTCCAGTAGTCTGGTACAACAAATTAATCAGGCGCCGGACCAGGTGCATGTGTTGGATGCTGAAACGGCTTCACTGATGGACTACTGTCATCAGCTCTGGCAACTCAGCGAGGGTGCTTTTGATATCACCAGCGGTGTCCTGCGGCAGGTCTGGACCTTTGATGGCGGAGACAGTGTGCCGTCGCAGTCCAAGGTGGAAGACATACTGCAGTACGTTGGCTGGCACAAAGCTTCGTGGCAATCTCCCAATTTGCGCCTGTTACCTGATATGCAGATTGACCTTGGCGGCGTGGGCAAGGAATACGCGGTTGATCTGTGTGCGACACGTCTGCGTCAGCACAGTGACATCAGTTGTCTGGTGAACTTTGGTGGTGATTGTGCCGTCAGCAGAGCTCGCAAGCGCGCGCCGGGATGGGACGTTGGTATTGAGTCGACGGCTGCTCTGGGCGAGGCGGGTACGCGGGTGTTGTTGCAGGAGGGCGCGCTTGCCACCAGCGGCAATTCGCACCGCTTTGTCTGGTATAACGGTGAGCGGCTCAGTCACATTCTTGATGCGCGCACCGGTTGGCCGGTTCCGCAGGCGCCACGATCAGTCACGGTGCAGGCCAACACCTGTCTTGAAGCGGGTATGTTTGCAACGTTGGCGTGTTTGCATGGCGGCTCAGCGCAAGAGTTTCTTGAACAAGGTGATGTCAGGTACTGGCTGCAGGCGTGACCCTGCAGACGGGCTTAGTCGCCCATGTGTTTTGTCAGAAACTGATCCAACGCTTGCAGGTATTCCAGGCGATGTGCCTGCAGACTGAAGAAGTGATCTCCATTGGCCTGCTCGATGTACTGATGTTCAACGCCTGCTTCGACTAACTTTTCTACTAAGTTCCGAGACTGCTCGATCATCACAGATCTGTCCACGTCGCCGTGCACCAGAAGCAGAGGCAGTTGCATCTTGTCTACGTTTTCAATCGGTGAGTTCTGCAATAGCGCTTCGCCTCGTGGCAAACGCGCCGTGGACAGCCTGCCGAATTGAAAGTTGTACCAGCGGCTGCGCAGGTCTTCCAGGTCAGATACCCCTGCAAATGATATGGCACATTGGAATTTCTCGGGTGTTTTATAAGCCGCAACAAGGGCGACGTAGCCGCCGTAACTACCGCCATGGATACATACCTTGTCCGGGTTGGCCAGGTTGTTTTTGATCATCCAATCGAGACCATCGATGATATCATTCTGCATGGTCCCGCCCCACTGTTCGAAGCCGGCTGCGGTGTAAGCATCTCCGTAACCGGTGCTACCGCGGAAGTTCGGCTTCAGAAGGGCGTAACCGCGATCGATGAAGTACTGATTCCAGAAAAAGTAGCGGCCTTCATCTTCGGCCCAGGGGCCGCCATGAGGATCAATAATGGTGGGATATGGGCCGTCTTCGGGTGGGCCTGGCAAGGCCAGGTAAGCAGGAATAATCTGTCCGTCACGAGCGGTATAGGTAACATGTTGGAAGTCGACATCTTTGCCCTGGCTGAATTCGCTGAGCTTGATCAGCGAGCGATCTGCGGCAGCATAGCGGTACAGCGTTTGCGAAACACCATTGCCCTGTGTTGCGATGATGAAGTGAGACAGTGATGGCGTTGTGCTCCAGATATCAACAAATTTGGGGTTGCCGAGTCTCTTTCTGACGTCAGCAACAGCGGTCTCAAGTTCTTTGTTAAACCAGGTCAGTGATGTGCCATCCTCATCATAGCCCGCATACAGAATTTGTCTGGAAGGTTGGTGGCTGTAGTAGCGGGCCACGTCAAATTGCGGGTCTTCGTACAGCGTTTCGATAATCTGACCTGTTGCAATGTCCACTCTATGTAAACCCTGGGTGTCTGCACCATTGTTGTTTGCGACGACGTAGATTGATCTGTTGTCCTTTGCAAGGGTCAGCAGGGTCGGTTGGTCGAGACCCATCAGATGGTCGACGTTGATTTTTTTGCGTTTGCCGTCGATGTAGCTGTATGCCACCGGTTCGTTGGCGCTGGTTCGTCCCGTTGCAAAGCGAAGATCTCCGCTGTCATCGACGTACCATCGGTAGATTGAGCCGAGAAATTTCTGCTCGCGCTTGAGTTTGTTGTTGTAGATGTTGAGTTTATAAACTGACGGGTTGACGCGGTCCTCCCGGGCGACCTGCACCATGATGTGTTTCGGGTCTTCGGGCAGCCAACTGATGACGTCATCCTGATTGGGAGAGTTCCACACCAGGTCGCCGCGCAGCCGAGATTTTGCCTCGGGAATAAGCTGGAGTTGATTGCTGCCATCGGTATCAATGGCCAGTAGCCGCGTGGCTACGGTCCTACCGTCTCTGTACCAACGGGTGCGAACTCCGATGGTGCCTGCCTGTAAAACAATATAGCTGCGTATCGAGCAGACAACTCTGGTTGGGTTGGCAAACCGACACCAGTTGAAGAGAAAGTTTTCCGGATCAGCGGCCATCAGCAGTTTGGATTTGCCGGTATTGAAATCCAGCAGCACGGCGTGATAAGTGCCTTGAAAGGCCCTCAATGTAATAGCCTGACTGCCATCGGGGGATAGGTTGATGCTACTGAATGGTGGTAGTTCAGCAAAAACATCCAGCGAGGTTGTTGGATCAGATGTTGTCTTGATTTGATCAGGGTTTGCGTGAGTGATGTTGACCAGCATGAACGTAGACAAGACTACTAACAGGCCTGGTAAATGGCGACTTACCATCATTGTTTAAGCTCCCCCTCTGCTTCTCCACGGAAAGTATGCCAAAAAAAGCTGGCTATGGTGAGGGGCTTATCGGCCCGGGTACAGCGTATCGATTGCGGCCATAGAAATCAGTCCGGCAGGCGCAGCAGGTTGATCATCATTTCTCCCTCGGCCTGAGCGAGGATGGCTGGCGCCAGATGCGCTCGTTTACTGCCAAGGCGATTTTTTATCCAATCTTCCATGCCATCCAAGATCTGTTTGGCGGTGGTTTTATAAGGTCCTTCGTTGCGCATCGCCAGGCCGATGATTTCGAACCACAGCTTCTGTCCTGGATGCGCTGCTGGATCCTGCCCCATCAAGCGCAGCGCATCGAGAATCTGCTGTCCGGAAACTTGTCCACGCGGTAACGCATTTTCCAAGGCGCCTACCAGACCGCCGGCAATCTGCAGCAGCGCTTGCGCGATCAGTTCTTCTTTTGTCTCAAAATAGTACATGAGCATGCGATCGCTCATGCCAACACTTTTCGCTAGAGCCCGGAGCGCGCTGTTGTGCATGCCGTTTTCCACAAGGTGTTGTGCAACCGCCGTTACTATGTCCTGTTGGCGGTGTTCTTTATCTGTAGATGGGCGTTTCAATTCAGCGGTGTCCTGCCATGATCTTGTTCAGTCCTACTATATCGAACCTTGTTGACCCAGGGGTAAAATGTAGCATATGCTACAATAAGTGTAGTAAATGCTACACAAAAGGGGGAGCAATAGCCCACCTGAGATCCTTATGGCTTTGATGTGTGTCTCGGGAAGTTGATGCAAGGTGCACAATGATTGGGTTCAGAGCCCTGTTGGTTGAAATCTGGTTCCGATATGGGGTTTTCTATGCATCGCGATATCAACAAGTTCTGGTTGAAAATTACAGCCATAATAGTGGGCGGATTTGGCCCCATCTTTTTCCTCGGCACCATGGAGGCCACTTCTGAACCTGCGCGCTGGTCATTGGACTTATTAAGCTGGCCTCTGGACGGAGCGCAGACGTTTGCTGCGCCAACTACACAGTTTCTTGCAGCGCTCACAGGCGGCTTCTTATTTGGCTGGGGGGTGATGATCTGGTGTCTATCCGGCGCTGTATATGATGCTGCACCCGAAGGTGTCAGGCGCACTGTTTTAACCAGTTTGCTGGCCTGGTTTATTCTGGACAGCCTCGGCTCGGTCACTTCCGGGAATCACTCTAACGTGTTGTTTAACGTGCTTGTGCTGCTGGCGACGGTGGGACCGCTCTGGCGACCGGCCCGAGAGCCGGTTGCCTGATCAGCTAAGCTTTGAGCGTCTATTCCTCGAGGAGGGTGCCTGAACCCCCAAATTCTTCCGGCATGTCTTTCCATTTTGGCAGGCCGTCTTTCACTGCCAGCGTTTTTTCGCCGTAAAAAATGTGCATGGTCCCTTCATGGGTTAATCCATCTACAACGTTCAAATAGACGTCCGTCATGCCCATATCAGGGTGTTCGCTCATGATATGACCGCCGCAGTCAGTACAGAATTTACGATGGCTGGCGGGTGTCTTTGCAAACGAACCTACTTTATCTGCGCCCTTGGTGATTTGCACCGCATCAGGTGCCCACAGGCTGAAAGCGTTAACCGGTGCGCCAGCCCATTCGGCGCAATCTGTGCAGTGACAGTAACCCATCATGTTGGGTGCGCCACTGACTGTGAATTTTACTGCGCCACAGAAGCAGCTGCCGTTGTGAATTTCGCTCATAATCCCTCCGATTTTCTACTGATCTACGCTCAGAGTGTGGCTCGAGTTGGTGGTATTTGCAAAGACCTGCCTGGTCTGTGGTGGTGCTGAAATTTTCTCGTGCAAAGTACTTGAAAAGATTTAGACTGCGCCGCCGCTTTATGGCGTGTCGGTGGTTCTAATTCTTGTTGGAGTTGGTGATGGGCTTTGAGCTTTCGATCGGCGATGCGCCAGCTGCGCAGCCTCAATCCGATATCTTCGATGCCATGGCTGATGCGCTGGCCGGTCCTGGCTGGGGCGTGTTTCCAAACCCGCTGCGTAGTGATGTGCTGCAGAATTTGTCTGATATTGCACACGCTCAGGAGTTCTGCGCCCCCGCAAAAATTGGTCGCCGCCTCAACCAAAGGCGCAATTCACAGATACGTCGAGATAAAATTGTCTGGATAGACAGTAGCCACCCATCGCAGCAAAACTGGCTGGATTGGAATGCGCAGCTGCAGCTCCGACTCAATCGCTCCCTGATGATGGGTCTGTCTTTTTTTGAAAGTCATTACGCGTACTACGCACCGGGTGCCTTTTACGCTAAACATCTGGATGTGTTCCAAGGTGCCAATCAGGAAATGCTGTCCGAACGTGCAGTGAGTGCGGTTCTGTATCTGAATCCACACTGGATGCCTGGTCACGGCGGTGAACTTGTGTTGTACGGACCTACTGGAGATGTGTTAACTGAAGTTGCCCCATGCATGGGTACCATGGTGCTGTTCAACAGCGCAGATTTTTTGCACGAAGTGCGGCCAACGCGGGAACCGCGTTTCAGCATTGCGGGTTGGTTTCACAGGCAACCGGCCTCTGCGGTTGCTTTGCCGGTCGCCTGAATGACCGATCCAAAATTTCTGCTGAATTACAAATTTACTTATTCGCCAGATCCTGAGACGGAAAAATCGTTGCGCCATTCGATCAAGGATGGTGTGTATTACTCGGCAATGATTGGTGGCGGGGAAAGCTACTTCTCTGCGTTTGCCATATTTTTGCAGGCAAGCACTACTGTTGTGGGATTGTTGGCATCATTGCCACCGCTTCTGGCTTCTGTTTTTCAACTGTTGTCGGCCTGGCTGGGACGAAAAACGGGTAAGCGCAAACGGATAGTGTTAGCTGGTGCGTTGATTCAGGCGATGTGCCTGTTTCCGATTGCTCTG